TCCCCCCGGGACGGGTGCCCACCACCAGCCATGCTGGTGGCTCCAGGCAGGGGAGCAGGCACTGGCTCGATGGCTGTCCTGCCTCACACTCATCCCTCCCATAGCTGAAGCAGTTTGAGCGGCTGGAGCAGGAGGTAACACGCCCCATTGACAACGACCTGTCCAACTGGAGCCCTCCCCAGCACTATGGCCCAGCACGGGGTGCCCTGTGTCCTGCTGACCGCCAGCTGCTCCTCTTCTACCTGGAGCAGTGCGAGGCCAACCTCACCACGCTCACCAACGCCGTTGATGCCTTCTTCACTGCTGTCAGCACCAACCAACCTCCCAAGATCTTTGTGGCCCACAGCAAGTTCATCATCCTCAGCGCCCACAAGCTTGTCTTCATTGGGGATACCCTGTCCCGCCAGGCCAAGGCCCAGGACGTCCAGCACAAGGTGATGCACTACAGCAACCTCCTCTGTGAGATGCTCAAAGAGATCGTGGTGACCACCAAGGCAGCTGCCCTCCACTACCCTTCTCCCGCTGCCTCTAAGGACATGGTGGAGCGTGTCAAGGACCTTGCCAATAGCACGCAGCAGTTCAGGATGGTGCTGGGCCAGCTGGCAGCCATGTGATGGCACAGGGCTGCTGTCCCCACAGCCCCCACCCTGTCCGCAGACACACATCCCCTCCATGAGATCCATTTCTGCCTGGTGTAAGTGGATATGTACATAGAGACTCCTCATGCACACTGGGGGTTTGGGGCTCTCCTGGTAGAGAGGTATGGGGCTGCAGCCATTACATTATCCCCCTCTCTCTTTTTCCGCCCTCTGGCCAGAGGCCAGGATTGGTTTTAGAGCCATGCCCTTAATGAAGCAAAGCTGGGGGGTGGATTTATGCCCGCTCATCCCTGCTGTCCTCTCTCCATAGAAAACCAGCAGCCTGGAGGCCATGGTGCAATGTCCCTGTTGAATCAGCATGGGGATGCGTCTGGCAAGTTGGGATGACACTGTTGGCCACTCCACTACTGGGGGGCCTCCTAAGTGGTCTCCAGCAGCCAGACTTTAATGCTGTGGAAGCCACCATAAGTGGTGGGGCAGAGACAGATTGTACCGTGTGCCAGAGGCTCTGGATAAGTGTTCCCAGGGGAATAGGGGGGTTATAGGGGGCCTGGGGCAGGAAGGGTCTGATCTGTATGTTCTCACATCTCGGGTTTTAACTCCTGTACCAGCTGTAACCGAAACGCAAACCAAAATTGGTGCCTTTTGAATGCAGGGGAAGCTTCTGCTGGTTCCCAGACCTATGGAGTCACAGCCCCCCAAAACTCAGCCCCCTGGCCCCCAGCAGCATAAAGATTTGCCTAGAAACCCCCCCATCTCTTCGGTATCTGCGTTTGTGTGTTGTGTGAAAGGGAACCCCTTGGGAAGGCTGGGGTGTACCCCCAAAAGAGGTCATAACTCATAGAGGCTGTGGGTACAAAGGAAAGGATGAGAAGGTTAGGGGTTGAAAATGAAGGGAGGCAGTGGGGCCACCCAGCCCTGATTCTCACTGCTGCTGGCAGTGGGAGTACCTCAGAGCATCTTGCTGGGGTTCATGGGGTTGTGGGATGGGTTCAGTATAGTCTTGATATGGTTCGTGCTGCCCAGTCCCTCCTGGCCAAGTTTCTCAAGCCACAGTCTTGCAGTCTGTGCAGGGGACTATGGAGCTGTAGCAAAAGTGCAGCCACCATCACTTCATTCAGGAACTCCATCAGCCCTCAGCAGCAACTGATGCAGGCCACGGGCATGGAGACCTGCAGGGGTGGCCTCAGGCAACGAGTACAGGTGCAGTGTGGCTTCTGTGAGCAAGCCCAGGGTGTCCCTGGAGCCTGGAAAGAGCAGTCGGGTTGTAGCTGGACACCCCTTTCCTGCATGGGGCCGGTGCTCCTCCAGCAGCACCACATTGCACATTGGGCCACAGAATCGCAGAATAATCTGGGTTGGAAGGGACCTTCAAAGCTCATCTAGTTCCAACCCCTCTGCAATGAGCAGGAACATCTTCAACTAAATCAGGTTGCTCAGAACCACATCCAGCCTGGCCTTGAACTTCTCCAGGGATGGTATATCTAGCATGGTGCAGTAGTGCACTGTGTTGGTAGCTGAGGGCCCTGTGGCTGCCATGCTTCACAGTGAGGCATCTGCCCCAGGGTCTGCAGGCAGGAGGTGGGACTCTGGTGTGCCCCTAGAACCATGGAGAGCCCAGCACTCCGAGGGACCATGGTGCACACAAGAGGACCCCACAGACCCCCAGTGCACCACACCCTCACCCCAGGCCATCCCCCC